ATCAATCTACTCTGAATTACTTATTGGAAGATCAGGAAACAAATATTCTACAGGATTATTATCACCAGGACGTCAATGCTTGATTTGTTTAATGGCATTTCAAGTGAATGATCGAGTCAGACGACTTCCAGCCTGTCAGCATATTTTTCATTCAGCGTGTATAGATCCATGGTTATTACATAAGTGAGTTGACATTTATTTGTGTAAAGTAAGGAAACGCGAAAAAGTCTCAAATTTTAAGTCTGTAGTGGTTTCAGTGAAGAATAGTGTTAAGAACCAACATTAGTTACAGAGGCGTCAAAAGACTCAAAGTACATTGGAATGAGATGTTTGGTTCGAAATTAGCTGAGAATTTCTGGATAGCCTTAAAGTAGGATGAAACAGATGTCTAGTGCTACTTGGTTACCAGTGCCTGTACCTCCTTTCTCCTCCACTCAATCGATGATGAAGGCCACATAACAGTTGAGCGGTTGGTTATTCACAAATTATTATCATCACATAGTTGCTTGCTGAGCGCACCCAAGTCACGAAACACACAAATACAGATTACAGAGTTTAGAAATCTTTTTAATATAGTGGTGTCCTATGAGCTTACGAAGCTTTCATTGCCCTACTTACGAGGCAACATCCTCACTTCAGTGCATACTTCAATTTGTTGAAATAAGCTTTAAGATTTCTCCACGAGTTCATTAGTCATCTCTCCTGTCGACCTACAACGTGAATGACTCTTTTTGTGTTTTCATACCCTATAGGCTACTTGTATTGGTAGTGGTGTTAGTTGTTTCCTTTACTTGAACTTTCACCCTCTGTGTGTGAGATTTCCTTCTTATCGATTGGTAAATTTTGTCTATCTCAATGTGTCTATTTATTGACGATTCACTGCAATACCAGGTGGGCTTCTAAAAATCCTCTGGTTAGCATTCTTGGTGTTTCCTCTGTCTTATATTTTGACGTTGGCTGTCCCAGTCGAATTGATGTTTGTGGTTGTCTGTATTCGGCGAATGATATGAGGGAGTGGATGTCATGTCTTTTGACGGCTAGTTTATGGTCATGGATATGAAAACGAAGGGGACACTCACTTTGACCAATGTAGTGTTTTTCGCATTTGTTATAATTTATTTTGTAGATGATGTTGGTTTTATCTTCCTTCGTTGCTGAGTCTTTTGGTTGACACAGGGCTGGCTGGCTGAGTGAAGTGATTTTGCTGGTTTGTCTGTGACTTCAATACCTAAGGATTTGACGAGTCTTGCAGTGATTTCTGAGATGTCCTTTATATATGGTAGGGCGATTTTCTTTGTGCTTTCTTTGAGGACCTTCTGTTTGGTAGGTTGGCTTGGGGGTATAGGTCTTTTGAGGGAATGTCATGGATATCCATTCTTTTCGAAGACGTTCATGAGATATCTTCCTTCAGTTTTCCTTCAGGTAGGTGGGAGTACTGCAATGAGTCCTGGCTGGCCCCCTTCAATAGTGTTTGTATACAATTCCTTTTGTGCGTTATTGGATTGCTGCTGTTGTAATTCAGTATTTGGTCTGTGTGAGTTGATTTTTTGTAAACCTGAGTTTCTAATTCCCATGTGGTTGTTCGCTTGACTCAGACGTTCAAAAATGAGATTTTGTTCTCGGATTACTCTTCTCTTATGAACTTGATGTCGTTAGAGACGTTGTTTATTAAGTTGTGAGTTTTATCCAACTCGTTTCTTTTGCTTATTACAAATGTATCATCCACGTAGCGTATCCAAATTTTGAGTTTGATCTTTGGTAGGATTATGTTTTCAAGGCTTTGCATCACGACTTCTGCAGTCAAACTTGATACCGGTGATCCCATGGGTGTTCCTTTGACTTGTCCATATGTATGACCGTTGAATTGGAAGTACGGTGTTAGGCATAGGTTTATGCATTCCATCCAACTTGTGTGTGGCATTTTTGACTGTTGTGGGAGGTGTTCGTCGTTGCTGAGTATTTCCTAGTTTCTGTTCAATTGAGGTATATAATGCTGTGACGTCGATGGATGTCGTTATTTCTTGGTCATGAATTTGAATGCCTCTGGTTTAATATAGAAATTGGATAGCGGAATTGATGGGTGATCACAAGATTCGGTTAGATGTTTTAGTTTTCTGTATAATTCTTTGGATAAATTGTATGTTGGACTTCCCGGGAGTGTTACAGTCGGTCGTAACGGGATATTTAGGTTGTGTATCTTAGATATGCCGTAGAATCAGAGTAGGACTGGTCCAATGGATTTCATTCCCCTTTGGTCTTGTTTTGTGATTTGACATGTTTTGGTGAGCTTGTTTAGAGTTCTTTGCATGCGGTTGTCTAGTGTTTGTATGGGATAAGTTGTGAGCTGTTGATATACATTCTCATCTTTGAGTAGTTCTTCAACTTTCTTGGTGTATTCTTCTCTGTCCATGACTACTGTTGTTCTTCCTTTGTCAGCTGGTAGAATGACGATTTCCTTCTTATTTTTCAGCTTTTTGAGGGCTTTTAGTTCTTGAGAGTTGAGTTGTGTATGTGTGTTGTTTTTTCTGTTTGACCATTGGTAAGACTGTCTGGCGTATCGCTTCTTGTGTTTCCTCGTTCAAGTTTGATAATTTCAGTAATGATTCAAGAGTAGCGAAGAAATCAGTTTTTGAAGAGTCTTCAGTGTTGTAGTTTAATCCTTTTTGTAGTAATTGTTGTTCCATCTTTGATAGGTTGATTCTAAGTGATATCACACGTCACTCCTTCGAGTAGAACCCCAGTTGGGTATTCTAGTATGACATTCAGAAAGCGAAGAAAGAGCACTAAGCATAATGGAAACGTGCTACTGAGGTCATGTATTCGGCTATGGATATGAAGAAGGCCTAATCGAATAACAAATAGCTGTTTTCACATCGAGTAGTCTTGTTTGAGATGCAACTAAACTCTGCCATAGGGCCAAGGTTCTATTCTTATATTTATGAATAGTGAACTATAGATTTCCTTACAAATAACTGGAACTCGAGTGAGCGATTTAATTCCATTCCACAGTAATTCGTCAGTGAGAATGTTTTGTCTTCGAATGTAACAATCATTAAGTTTTATCTTCAAACTGGCCGCTCATAGTACGAAGGTTAGTCTTTCCCTTATGACACTGGCTGGTATTGCATCAGCGAATGTTTTGTAATTGCATATTATAATACTTGGATTTGAGTTCAATGCTGAATACGGTAAGTGAATTGAATTCAGACCAAATATGAGTGTTCTTTCGCAAATACCTTCTGATGTAAGTGACCCACGAAGGCATCAGAAGATTAGACTGGTCTATGCTAGTGAGAATAACAACTACCTTTTTGGAAAATAATACAACGATAACTAGTTTGATTGCCTAGTGGGGGGGTTGCTAGCACCACGCCCAACCCTCCCTCTTTACTCGGGCTTGGGACCAGCTAGAGAAATAGAGAGCTAGTAAACTGGGCGAGGTTAAGTGACATCATCCTGGAGAGAATAAAGGATACACTGGAGACAGAACTCCGCTACCCACCTGAAAAAGCTGGATTCAGGAAAGGCAAATCATGTGCTGATCAAACTGCATCTTTACGCATCGTCATCACAGAACAAAGCATAGAAGAGCAGTCAAACCTCTACCTCAACTTCATCCACTTCGAAAAGACGTTCGACAGATATCATTGACAGTGAAGTAATTTAGAAACTTCTTCAACACTATGACGTACCTCAAGTCGTTGTCAACCTCATTCAACAGCTATACAACGATGTCACGTGTCAAGTGATTCCTAGCGGAAAACTCAGCAAGGCGTTGGAAGTGAATATAGGAGTAAGATAAGGCTGCCTGCCTTTTATCATCGGTGATATTCATAATTGTGGTGAGGTGGATTATGCGTCTGACTGTTGGGGGCAAGGAGTCAGGAATACGCTTGACCACCGATGAGAAGACTCTAGAAGATCTGTATTTCGCAGATGATATATTTCTAATATCACATAAAGTTGAAAACTTGCAAGCGAAAACCAACGAACTGGCTGAAGAGGCAGCGAAGACAGGACTCTGAGTGAACAGAGAGAAGACGGAGGTGATGAAGATTAGCAGTCAACCAACAGCAACAGCAACAACCAGCACCAGTCACCATCACTGGGAGAGATTCGACAGAGGTCACCCCCTTCACCTATCTGAGAAGCATCGTTTCAACTACTGGAAGAACGGAGGGAGATGTCAAAGTCAGCCAGAATTTGAAAGGCAAGATACGCCTTCATCAATCTGAAAACAGTTTGGGTATCTTCTGCACTCAGCACAAGGAAGAAGATTCACATTCTCAACACTATTGTGAAGTCGGTTCTTCTATGCAGGTCAGAAACTTGGCGTGTCACGAAAAGGCTTTTAAACGGGTTGCAAACTTTCATCAACAGCTGCCTTCGCTCATTGATATAAGAATAAAACTTGTACATTGCGGTAGAGTATAATTGCATTATGGGTAAAATTAATTTTGATAAAATCTCACAGTGTTATACAGTAATATTAACTGATGACCACGTTTAGAGTACAATTTATTGCCGATCATTATCATGTCAAGGTGCTAACGAGTATCAGTAAGCAAGAAGTCTAGGTCCAGGGTTCACTGAGATTTGGCTTCAACCACCTAACATCCATTTAAGAAAGTACACCGCTTCGGTGAACCTCCTAAGATGGTGACCTCATTGCAAATAGACGGGTGGATTTCAGTCAACACAAAAAATGAGCTATAGAAACGTGAAACTGGTGGTTACCTCTTGCCACAATGACAAATCGATATGCCATGTTTAAGTAATCTCATTCTAGCTAAGGGGCATTGGTGACTGACGCGAATGATCAGCAATTACTTATTTCACTCAGTAGTACATATCGTGTCACATATCCTATGCTTAAACCCCAAAGTATACATTTCCGTTTACAGTGTTAGCTGTATATATAAAGTTTTGAAAATGAAAATTTCCCATTCAATTTATTCAATAATCTGACTTTTATCTTTCTCTCAATTTATTCAATGAAGGTCATGTATCTGTCCAATTGATCGGGTACTTGTTCAGCCAAGAAGAAGAAAAGTAAACGAGAAATCAATAAATTGTCATGAATCAAAATTATCCATACTGAATAACAACAACTTGAATGAATTAAAAATCTGTGCTAAACAAATCGAAAGTAGACCTGATGTTAAAACAAAATCGATAGATAAAAAAGGCGTAAATATGAAAGCTTTTTCTGCAAGAGAGACAACACTTTCAAATGTAAGTTTTGAAGAAGATGTGTGAAGATTTAAACGTGTTGAAGACGAGTGACAGCTCATGTGGATGAATATTATTTTTTATCATTATTATTATTGTTTCCTTTAGTTCCTAGAGGAAAATAGGGCTTCAGTCACGCACGTCTCCATTGAGTTCGGTTAGACGCCAACAACGTTTTCACTACCTGGCTACAAGTCTGCTCAAATGCTTTCATCTCCTCTTCACATGACCTCCTCCTCCTCCATGTCACCCTCGCGCTGACCACCAACAAACTTGCCACTTACCATTCCGGTTCCACTCAAGCGACGGCCTGCCGTGTGATGTCAGTCACTTAATGGTTTGTTTTCTCAGAGTATGGCCAACAATCCACTTCCATTTCTTCCTTCATATTTGTTGCACTATTGGTTCCTGCTTGGTTGGTTCATTCATTGCCAGAGATGTCTGTTGCTGATCTTTTCTGGCCGGCCATCTGATCTTGAGTGGTATTGAGAGAAGACAGCTCTTGATGAAGGTCTGTTGATTGTTCGAAGTACCCTTCGTGATTCACCAAGTCTCTGATCCGTATAGCGAGTAGCACTTTCTTCACATTCGAGTTGGAAATCCGGATCATATTTTTCATGCTGAGTAGTGCTGTTGACCTCCACACAAACTTGAGAGTAATGAAAGCTTGCTTTGCTTTCCCGATCCTCACTGTTTTGATATCCTCATCAGTTCTGTCTGCATGTTGTTGAAACGATGCTTCCCAGGCAGGTGGGTAGGTAGGCGAAGGAGGTTGCTTCTTTCAGATTCCTCCCATTTATGCTGATTGTTGTCTGTTTTTGTAGTAGTTGCTGTCGCTGCTCCCCAAGAATCTTCACCACCACTGTCTTCTCTATGCCTATCTGAAGGCCTATTTTTGATGCTTCTTCTGCCAACCTTTTGCTTTTCACTTGCATATCTTCTCGTTTGTGGGAAATAAGATAAACATCATCGTCGGAGTCCAGATCCTCCAAGTTTTTTGTGTGGATCCATTTTATGCCTGCCTCCTCGCTGCCCACTGTCTGTTTGTCACATTAACCAGTCTACCGCAATCAGGAAAATCATTGGAGACAGTAGGCAGCCAGCTTGTCTCACTCCCGTCTTCACTTCAAAGGATTCCGTAAGTTTCCCGTTGTGGAATACTTGGCATGCGGCATTGTCGTACAGCTGTTGGATGGCCCAGTTTTTAACTATTCCCTAATTAACCGAGTTTAACATTGATCCAATATTTACTGAGTAGAGTTTATTTTGTTTTTCAATATTTTTGTAGAGAGTTAATCCATCCGTGATGCTCAATATAGTTGGACAACATTTGTTTACAGAATATTCCAGAAAGTTGTGACTCAAAAGTTCTTGTAAATCAGTAATCATACCAATGAAATAAAAATTAGAAATAAATATGACTTCATGAACTCATAACCCGAGTATATATAAACTATGACATTATTATTGTTATTCTTATATTTTAACAATATACTTGACATAGCTATGCGACATTTATTAATATCATACCATCATAACTATTATTAACTTACAAGTTTTAATTAAAACCATATATACTACTAACAAAGTATGAGTAGATACAAAATTTTGTTGTAAAATGTTTTGTGTAAAATATTACAGTTTACGAAAAAATAATCCCAACGAATTCCTATCAACAAATGAAGCAAAACATTTTAATGGTATTTTTAAAAAATTCAGATCTGATTATGATTTATAACGAATAACAATAATAATCATAATAATTAAAATGCAGATAGTGTGGTGAGTGCATTCTGTGTACGGTTGAGTAAACTTAATAAATTAGTTGAGTTGGAATTATGGCGTGTATGTACAGATATAGAATACTATTAGGTTTCGAGCCTTCAATACCACAAGGATCGACTTCTCCGCTTATATCCAATTGGTATTCATGGCTTTTTTGAATTGTGGAAGAAAGTCGCTGAGAGTATTTCATGTTGGGGAATTACTACGTATTTCATACATTTGGTTCCCTTGACAAATTTCGATAAAGAAAGGAAGACGAAATTTGCAGTATAATATATGATATCATCATTCTTTTTCACAGGTTCTCATCAGCTGCACACCCCTACCTGAAATTACAATGGTTATATAGATTGATAATAATAACATACTTTAATTTTTAAGTGGTAGTAGAGATGAAGTACTATGAAATTAAAAGTCAATCTGAACGAAGAATATTCTTTTCAATAATTTCTCTTCAGGTTCTTACAATTATAGTGTACGATGAAGGGTTAAGTAGTGATTTGATTTTGAGCAACTTCAATAATGCTCACCCAGCGGTCCATTTCACCTACGAAGGAGAATACAACGACTCTCTACACTTCCTCGACGTCCTACTAACGAGAAGAGAGGATGGTTCCGTCAAAAGAACCATATTTAGAAAGCTAGAGACCAAAGCTCAGTATACACACTTCCTTAGCTTTGTACCGATGAAATACAAACGCAATCTGATCAGATGCTTAGCATTTAGAGCAAGGTCGATTTGTTCCGAAGACTGTGTAGAGAAAGAACTCCAGGTCATCCGAGAGATTCTAAGTGAGAACGGATATCCAGAGAAGTTCATTAAAGCAAACATAGGTTACAATAGCCGTAAACATGAACTGACAACGGTGGAGAAAAAGCCTCTGTTTTTCCGTCTCCAATTCAAGGGAGATACTCCTGCGGAGATTCTATCGCAACGTTTAACCAGGGCGATCAAGAAAACTTTCTACTCTGCACGTCTGTGTCTATCCTTCAGTAGCCGTCCAATGTTCACCCAGCAACTCAAATATGTTTTACCTAATCTTAGCTCTTCTTCATGCATATACCATTTCAACTGTTCCTGTGGTTCAAGTTATATAGGGCGCACGATTAGGCAGGTTCGTCTGCGGGTTCGAGAACATATACCAGCTTGGTTCAGCAGAGGGGAAATTAAGTGCATAAAAACCTCGATCCTGTCACACTTGGTCGATACTGGACATCATATCGATGTCAACACAGCTTTCAGGGTTATATACCGAATTCCGAAGTCGTTATCACGTACATTTCGCTTACGTCTTCTACACATAGCTGAAGCTGTTGCAATAAGATCGACCAAACCGGAACTTTGTATCCAAAAAGAACACGTCCAGACGCTGTTCCTACCGTGGCCAAACTTGGATTGATGATTCTTCTTCTCACCAAGAGTGCTCCTTCCCCTTAACCCTCTTGGCTTTTTTTTTCCTTTGCTTATTATTACAATTATTATTACTATTATTACTATTAATATTATCATTATTCGTCATAATTTATGCCCTTCATGCAAACATTCTCTCAATACTATCGAATTTTTTTTTTCGTTTATACTATCCGGACTTATTATTAGTGATATAATCTCTTTTCTCAATATATGCCTCCACCTGTTTCATTTCACATATTCGTTATCTCATTATGAACCTCCCAATGCAGTCTTACTATCTCCTGTTTAACACAGACCACTTTGTACTAGCCACTCACCTGACACCTTTTATAACCTTGAACTGACTTGTCAATTTTCCTACCCCCACTCTACAAATCTATTATGATTAATCACCATTGTCTCCCGTTTTACATTATTTTGTAATCGAATTCAGCCTAGCACGTTTGTCACACAAATACGACTATTGATTTTGACACCCCATTACTACTAATCTGTTATTCTACGTTAAAAATGTATCTGCCGCATAACTGGCCTTATTGTAACGACAACAAATATTATATTTTATAATTGTAAGAACCTGAAGAGAAATTATTGAAAAGAATATTCTTCGTTCAGATTGACTTTTAATTCATAATATGGGAATTTTCGATACTATCAAATCTTACTATGAAATTGACGCATGTAAGCAAAGTGTAAGCATTACAATTTTTTTAAGTTTAGGTTTTCATCATCAGTTTATACACTTTCAAAGTAGAAAAGAGTCGGGGGGAGGGGTAAGACAGAAAACAGAAGAAGAAATTAACAAACAGTGTTAGCTTGTAGGTTTACATAGCAAATCAATAAAAACAAAAGCGGTTACAATTTATAAGATTGAGATTTCTTCAGTGAGTTGAGATTACTGAATTAGATGACTAATTAATGTAATCAAGATCAAAATTCAGTTGCCACGGCAGCGAGAGGTTAATCACAATTTCTTTCTGTATGCATTAATCCGGTTTGAATCTTTCGGGATCGCAATCAAACGATTCAAACCAGACTTGTTAATTTTTTTTGTTCTCTACCTTACCCCTCCCCCTCTCTTTTCTACTCTGAAAGCGTATAATCAATTTATGATGATGAAAACAAACTAAAAATTATAACTCCATTATAGATAAGAATTTATTTTGATAAATTCACACAATGTTATGCAGTAATATGAACTGATGACCACCTTTCGAGCACAAATTATTACTGCTCATAATCTCATATCAAGTCAGTCACTCACACAACTTTCTGGCTCCATTTATATACATGAATAAAAATTGATGATTAGACATTTGATTGAATAGAAATCAATATAAGATAATGCACATTCAGAAATAATAATAATATGAGTGTTATCAATCAAGTACAATCAGATGGGAAATAAAACGAGTGTTTTTATAGTCAAAATAAGTAACTTGTTAGAATGTTGTGATGTACGTGAATTGAAATAGAACGGGTCAGTACACTCATTTTTTGAGTTTTGTGAGTTTGAAATATAAACGTAACTTGGTAAAGTGTGTGGTTCATAGAGCAAGGTTAATTTGTTCAGATAACTGCCTCAATCAGGAGCTTAAGATTGTTAGAGAATTAATTAGTAAAAAGTGGTTATCCAGATAAGTCCATTGAGAAAACTATGGGTTCAGCGCCTAGAAGAGTCAGTATGGCAACAGTTCCCAAGAAAAACCACTGTTCATAAAACTGCAGTTCCCCCGGTGCTCGACAAATAGGGATAAACTACTTGAATTTGTCTTCTCTATGCGTATCTACCAGTTTGACTGCAGCTGCGGAGCCAGCTAAATCGAGCGTATAATTAGGCTGGTTCGTCATCGTATTTCCGAACATCATCGATCATGGTTAAGCAAGGGACAAAAAAAATCTATTCTTCGCCCTATTTAAGCACACCTTGTGGATAGTGAGCATAAGGTTGGTGTTATTACTGCATTTAAAATTATTTATCACATTCCTACTGATCCTAATCTTGCTTTAAGAGTTCGTCTTTTACATACAGCTGAATCAATAGGAATCAACCTGAAGAAGCCAAACCTGTGTGTGTTCAGCAGAAATGTGTACAGCAACTTTCCCTACCTTGGACACCATTACATGAATGTATGCACCGGACTACTTTGCCCCCTTCCCCTAAATCTTTAAAAATTATAATTGTCTAAATTATTTTATCATTTTTTCTGACTACTTCATCTTTAATTACTTGTTATCCTTGTAAAATTATTTTCTTCTTATGACCATTTCAACCTTAGTAACAAGTTATCATTGTCCAAATCGTTCTGTTTTCTTTAGCAGTCCGTTACGTAATCAACCTACGCACACGCTTCTTCCTTAATTACACTTCATTTTTACAAAATTATGCATTACGCAATCCATGTGTTGCAACCACTTTTACCTTTTAATTGTGTGTATTAATTTTCTTCGTTAATTATCACCCCATTGACATGTTGACACTGATTAATTATTGTTAACAAACATATCAGTGTCACTTGATTGGTAAATTGTTGTGTGTTGTAATAAAAATGCTATGGATATATTTTAGAGTCAGAGATGAGGATCTAATTGAAAGGTAAATATTTCTTCGCTTAATCTTTCTGTTTTCTAAATGTATAAATTGAGATTTTTTCTATATTAAAAAAATTGTAATGCTTACGTTTTGGATTCGCCAATTTCATAGTATTTCTTCTCTACTACCATGTAAACATTAAAGTATGTTATCATCATGTGTATGGCGATTGTAATTTCAGGTAGGGATGTGCAGCTGATGAAAACCTGTGAAATAGAATGACGATATCATTTTATATTACTACTACTACGTATTTATCAGACATATTACCTAATGAAAAGTATGATAGCCATATGTAGAAATGTGTATATATGCATGTAGAATAGATTCAGAAAAATACTGTCCAGCAGTATGTAAGGCTGAATTTAAAGCCAGAACATGAGTAAATTGTACTCCATAGATACTAACACGATCTACTGATGAATGCAGATACTCTAAACTTCTTCTCTTAGAATTTAGGGTTGCTGAAACGTTTTAAACTTACTGGCTGTCCTTCAGGATAAATATGTCACAGACGTGAAAAAACCCTACTGAATTAATATAGTAGTCAGTCACCTTAACTACTCAGCTCTTCTATATCAAACGGGTAAGTAGTGCCTGTTATTATTATTATTCTTTCCTTTAATTCCTAGAGGAACACAGGGCTTCAGCCGTGCGTCTCCATTGCGTTAGGTTCTCTGATAGAGTCTTCAC